GTCTGAGAACTAACAAACAGCCTCTTCCTCTGTAACAGAGAACTGCTGGAAGCTCAACAAAGTCAGATGTGCCTCCTTACACTAGTGCCAAAACCAGGTCAACAGAACTGCCTGCATACCTCCAACACTTAGCAGCGATCCACCAGGAGCAATATGAGGGCTGCAGCACTCACTGAGGACAGGTGGGGTTTTTGTTTGGTCTTTTTTAAGGCTTACCTGAACATGGAGGCTGTTCTGATGATGCTCTCTTACCAATGATCACACAAACTGGGGTTGGTGATGGAGAGAGACAGGTGGGTTTACAGAGTTCCCAAGTTTGTGAATGGGAAAGAGGCAAGAGAAACACAGAACTCTTCCTACTTGCTGCAGATACATCTGGGATGGAAACCAGACCAGCCTTTTAGATCTGCAATTTTGATTGGCAGGCAGTTTTACTGGTACCTACTGCAATAAAGCTGCAGGAGTATGTAGATGCATACCATGCAATTAAAACAACTAGAGCTCATTAGGGGCATACATGCAGGTATGAGAAACAATAGTTGACGCAGAGCAGCTGAACCTTAAGTCAATACATATGCAGATGCTGCACTGCTGGAGATGATTTTCACTCAAGGTCACTGGTGAAGCTGTTTTAAGGTAATTTATTCTGTAACATTTAGAACCATTTAAAAGACAGCACAAAGAACGATTCCTATTAAACACAACAGGAAGCCAAGACTGCACAACGCCTACCAACAAAAGCAACACTTTCCTCGCTGGCATCAGTGGGGCTGGGAGAGGGTTAATGGCATCCTGCTGAGTCACCAAGCAGCTCACAGGGTGGGGAAGGAAGGTCCCTGCAAAGTCAGAATAGGTACAAAATGAAGGGACAAGGAAGTTCAAGACCAGCTGCTCTCTGCCACTGTAAACCAGTGCATTCAAAGACAAAGCAAGAAGGCTCCGTGATATTTTTTCAGCTGCAAGAATTTCCAAAGAAACCAAATGAACTTAAAAAATATTAAATTTCCATTTAAAAGGAAGTATCTCATCTACAGAGCAGACTCAACATGGCATCCAAGAAACAAAATGGAATAGCAGCAGCTAGGGAAGGATGCTACACCTCAGGATGTATGTCAGGTTCAACCAAGCAGATTTAATAATTTGCAGTGCATTTTGTTTCAAATGGCATGTGACCTATTTTAGGACTCAATCTGATTTGACTATAATTAACTGCAATTTGTGTGGATTCCTATTTAGTGCTTTACATTAAAAAGAAAAAAAACAAACCAACAGGACAATTTCTGATGTTAAAAAAAAAACCAAAACATCAAGTATCAATTGAATCTATGTATTATTCCTCCAGATTACTGCATTTCCAATAGAACACTAAGCATTTTACAGAGGCTTTTAGGACACTCAACCCACAGCACAAGGACAAAGTGTGATTTTGTAGTCTGAAAAAATGTCAATTTCCCATTCAATGAAAACACAAAATACATCATTTGTTTTCTTAGCATGAAGGCAGATCCTACTTACAGCCCAGAATTTGGTTTTGCTTTGGAACCCATCCTTAACCCTTTGCACACAGCATTATGAAAAAAACAAAACCAGTTTCTCAAGCCCTACACAGACACACGCTGTAGTTCTTCAGGCTTCTTCACCCATAAATTTTCCTCTATGAAGGTGAACTATCACAAAATCCCTTTGTAGCACCACCAAGAAAACGAGAAGAAAATCTGTGAGGACTTTAATTACAGCTTCACATGCTGCACATCTCCAAACTGATACTCGTCCTCTTGTCACCCATCTGCCACCCCAGTGACAGCTCTGTGCTTTGCGTGCTCCCTTTGTAAACTTACCAGTGAAATAAAATTCAAACAAAGAAAGCAACAGCAGCTTAAGGAGTAAGGAATAAATGCACGCAACCTTAAGAAAGGCAAAAATGCCTCCCAGTGCCCTTATCTGCATCAGCAAGTTCATGAAAACCACTGGTTTCACTCCAACACTCTCCCTCTATGCAGATGGCCATATCTGCCTCAAAATTCAGAGTCAGGCTCTTGCCAAAGGTTTTCCTGACTAATACTGCAAAGTCTGGCTGGGAACCGAGCTGCAATGACTTCAAATGAAAAGTAAGCTTGATAATTTGCAGGGCTATCCAGCAAGCTAAAAACAAACAAACAAAAAAAAACCCAAGGCAAAGGATGGAAAGGGGTGGGAATGGAAATAACAAGCAATAGATGAGGCAACAATTCAAGGAGAGATGAAAAAGGAGTAAAACACTACTCTGACTTAAAGCTGAGATAAAGCGAAGTCTGAAAGAACAGAAAGAGTTGCTGATAATGTGAAAACAGAGTTAGGAGTACTTGCAAGTATTTACTTGCCCTGCATAGCTGTCATTCCTACAGCCCAGACAGAACGGCTTCTTGCCTCCCAAAGATTTCTATTGCACCCATTTTGCATTTGTCTTCCAAGAAAATTTTACTGTAATTAAGGAGAGTGGTTTTACTCATAGGAAATTAAGTTCCTAGCATCACAGCAGATGAACAGCAAAGGCATGTGCAACTTCCAACTTGCAGGGTATTTAAGAGACAGACCTTGCAAAGACAACAGCCAGTTAAAATAATCCCAAAGCTATGGAGAACCCCCACAGACACAAATACAACCCAGGTTTCCAACACGGATGTATAAAACAGCAGCTATGCAGCACAGAACAACAGGTTTGGGCTCCAAAGCATCTTCTCCAGCTTAGCTCTGAGGGTGCTGCCGGCCAGCAAATCCACTCTGATGTGCCATGAAGCGACGGAGGATGTGCACAAAAAGGCACAAAGCCGTGTTGTTTTACATACGTTAACTTCCTACACAGTGCAAGAGCAGACAAGCTGAAGAGTCAGGTGAGAGACAGCACCAGGCAGGAACAGCTGCATGGCCCCAGATGTGTCCTATTTCCCATCCAGCAACCTCTCTGCCCTTGCAGGGACATTAAACAGCCAGGCTGCAGAGCAGATCCCTCCTGCAGCAGCTCTCCATCTGCTCCCACTGCAGCGCACAGCAGTGAACACGGCCTGCCTGAATAGCATCACTGCAACATTTGTCCATCACAAGTTTGTCCCAAAGAAATAAAGAACGTGAGGACATACAGGGAACAAGGAGCAGTAACACAAACGCTTCAGAAGAAATCCACGTCTCCTCTCTGGCTCTCACTTGCCACTGCTTTGTGGCAGCTGTTTCTCAGCACTAGCATCAAGAACTCACAAGGAGAAGGGCAGAAATGAGCAATGCTCAAAGTCCCAATAACACAGCTTGTTGTGGGCTTTATTCAGGAAAGAATAACACCATTCAAAAAGAATCATCATTAACAACAGAACGAGGATCTCAGCCCTCTTTAGTAGCAGCTTTGATCCTGGTGTAAATGCTAAGTTAGTCGCTAATTAACAAGATTTCTTGGCATTCAAGCTCAGCTTGAAACACCACACAGCTTTGCCACCAAGAGCTGACCAAAGCCTAAACCTCCTTACCTGAACCAAGGGAAGGTGCTTTCTAATCAAGACAACACTTAAAATCTATTCCTTCACTGAAGTCCAATCAAGTTTTCAGCTGTCTGCTTCTCTATGCAACAGTGATTGATGTGCTATGCAGCAGCTGAGGCCACGCAGCAGCAGCCTCACCAGAGCAGGTGGCACTGAAACAAGGCAGGGCCCCAGAAAGGCTTCCTTTTGGAAAAAATCCTAGTTAGTTTTTTTCTTTGTGATATTCAAACTGATTGTGTGGTTTTCAACAAGCATCACGCTTTGTTTTTTCTCTCCCGAATAGAACGCCAGCCACTCTCACCACATAACTGAACTTGTGGCTGGAGAATAAAAGGAAATAAATAATCACCCACTACACACATGGATAAGCAGTGATATTGCACTTGTTTGGGCTTGTCACTACTGAAGAGCTATTCCTAATGAAATAGATCAGCTGAGCTCTCAAACTGATGACTCCCTGATGCATGGGGGTTTCAGTACCTGTATCTACCTGATGGATCAAGTGGCTGAAACACTCCTATTTATTCTTTGGAATAGAGGAAGCCATTTAGATGGAGGCTATAAAGCCAAAGGAAAATATGACTTTCCAAACTGTAGAACAGACGCTGTAAAAGCAATGAGGTCAAACACAGCTGAGATGCACTGCTCCACAGCAGCAAGAGTATCACTTCAACCCCAGAGAATTCAGATACTTCAGCTTAAAACATATCACCCCAATCTCAGAAACCCAACTTCTTTGTACCCAAAATTCAAGATAAATACTGATGCTACAAACACATCCCACCAACACAGAAAATTAATGAGAAGAAAGTTGTGATCCCATCGTTAACCTTGTAATGCTATAGAACTATTTGGGATCCACAAAGGGAACAGCACCAAGCTCGGCCATTTTATAAGCCTTCCATATGATTCAACGACAGCAAGCTGTTTTTGGCAGCTTGGCTCACTGCAGAGCCTGCCTGGTGACCTTCTGCAAAGCCAAAACAGACCCAAAGTGAGCTGCAGTCCCCACCTTCTGCTCTCCCAGCACACTCCCATCAGACAAAGGAAGCTCAGAGGTGCTGACACACAGAAGGTACACAGCACAGAATGCCATAAAGGAGAGAAAAACCAGTATCTCTAATGACTATACTTTGTTATCATATATATTTCATCTGTTTAAATCAGACCTATCAACAAGCTCAGTTTACAAGACAGCAGTTGCACCAACAGTTTCAATCCAATCCCAACCCTCATAGCCTCACCAAATTATCTCAGGAAGGGAAAAGAGCCTTCCAGAGCTCAATATCAGATAAAAGAGACAGGAGAAAATTAAGAGTTGATTAGCTATGACATCCTGAAGACTTTGCAGAACTCAAATTCTGCATGCACTGAATTTGAATACATACATGTATTTCTCACAAAGAAGCAAAATCAGTTCCAGCAGGCTCCTGCAACACAGGCAATGCACTCACAGGGAGGCCAACAGCCACACACAGAGAGAGTTGAACTCACCCGGCTGATGAAGGGGACCTCCAGCCATGCAGCACTCCTCCTCCAAAGCAGCCCAGCCCCAAGGGATGCTCTCCTGCAATGGTTGGCCTTTATATGAGCTCTGAGTGGGCAGCACAGGTGGAAGCACTTAGCCTGAGCTCCCTGGGCTGCCTTTCTCCAGGTGCTCAATCACCACCTCAGCCACCACCCAGCAGTTTCTCTACACCTGTGAGCAGTGCTCTCAGCTACCAGGATGATTTTATTTTTCTCCTTTTGAGTTACACATTTATTGCTGTTTGTGGCAAAAATGTAAGGGCAATGTACTCAACTCCAGATTACATTTATAGTCACTGGGGGAAAAATGACTTGACACCACTGCTGGGGGCTGGAGGGAGGAATTAAGTTTACCTTAAGGCAAGCATTAAAGACAGGTCATATTCCTCACCCTCAGAGGTGCTTATTCATCTGCACCAGCTGCAGAGGAAGGCCAGAGGCAAGCATTCAACTTCAGTGTGCACTTAGGGCAATGAGTCCCACCAAAGGGGGTAGTCCCTAACCCCAATGGATTGGTCCAGTGACTGAACATTGTTAGTGAAAGCTTCAAGACTCAATACAAAGGAAAAAGATCAGGTAAGCTCCCTGTGCAGATAGGGCTGAAGCAAAGGTAGCAGTTTTACCTAGAATTAGCGTGGAAAGAGCCCTGCAGTCCCCAGTTTAAGTAGTGCAATCAAGTCACAGGCATCTCTAACCTGCCTTTCAAAAGGGTTTTTGCTATTGTTGCTCTTGCTTTGGCTGTACAAAAGCAAGTAAGTTTGAAAAGCTTCACATTCAGGTTCTGAACAGCTGAATCGAGTGGATTCTAAACAGTTAGCCTCAGAGATAAAGGAAAACAAAGCTTAGCAGAAGAACTTGTCTGCATAAAGCTACATCCAGCACAGCTGCTACACTGTTGAAACCGGCTACCAAGGGACAAAGCACAGCTCATTCTTCGCCTTGATTTCACAGTTAGATATTTCAAAGAGCCCTCTTCTAACCAGGGATGGTGTGGGCTGTTTGATAGTCTGTTTGCACTTAACAAGACGACTTCATCAAATATCTAAAGTTTGCAGGAAGGAACAAGCAACTGTCACAATTTCTGTCCCTTGCTAAATTCACACTCCAATATTTACTTTCATACTAAAAGTATTGACTAGCCTCGCTCCCACCTGGCTAACAGGCAAACAATAGAAGTACATTAATGTTTATATCCTGCCACTTTTTTCCAGCATCAAAATAACATTCTGCTATAACACTCCTCAGCGTTATGCCAGTGCTCAGTCCATTTTAGATCTGGAAGATGCATTCAGGAACCCCAAAACTCCAGCCTCACTGACAATGCTGGATAACTTTCAGTTGTCAGCAGAGTGCAACCACCTGCTGCACCTTTACCTGTACATCAAAAGCTCTGGTTCTGTACTATGATAGAATTCCTTGTGCTCAAGCAGAGATCCACTGAGGCCAAAAAGGTGCTGGGTGAGTACGCTCTGCCATGAGCTGTGCAGCCAGAAAGAAGACGGATCAGAACACAGCAGCTGAATTCACAACTGAATACTCACTCCAGCATCAAAGCATTATTTTGTTCAGAATACTAGAAACTCTTAAAAAAACAACAGAAAAAACACTAATGTAATAGCAAGTGGGCAAAAAACCCTCACAGACCAGCTCATGGAAGAGAAAAAGCATTTTGGAGCATCTCAGAGTACAGAGAGATGTCTCATAAAGCCCTCAAGGACTGCAGAGGCTTCCTTCCCCTCTCTCCCCCACACCAAATCTCTCTCACTTGCACACACTGCAAACAGATGAGCCTCAGCATACAATGAAACAACTGTGTTGAACAAATTTGTTCTTTTGCTTTTATTGAAATAAGGTGGGTGGGAGGGCTGAAACCAATTCTGAAACAGGAAAGCCAACCAATACTTGGCCACAACGAGTCCCCCCAACAGCACATTTCTGCTCCTACATGTACCCAATTTCTTGTTTCTCCCACATAGCTGGGTAGGAGAAACACCCATGCTAATCTCCTGCCCAGCTGAACCTGTGATGTCAGCATTCCTGTTTGCACACAGGGGGAGAATGGGTTTAAAGCTGATTATGTCCCAAGAGTGGTATCACAGCACAGGTGTGGAACTTGCAGCAGCACCAGAAAGCCTCTTCCACAGGATAAATGATCAGCACACGTGCTCAGAACATGGTCTTGCTGCTCACATCTCCATTTGTGTGGAGGTATGCATGCTCAGCTATCACTTTCAATCAATATATAAACACATTATTTCAGCACAGGCACCAACAAAATTTATAGAAACTGAAGTCGTGCTTAAAACACCCTGATCTGCAATTATCACATTCTTCTGTCCTACACTGAGACCACATTCACACACACTGTATCCAAACCTGCTCTCAAACTCAACCACAATTAAGTCAAATTGCTGCATTTCAAAACTCCATGGTACAGGTTTCATATTTTTGAATTTAAAGCTATGCTGAAATAAACCCAACAGGAACATTCATCACGCAGAGCACTATTTATTGCTCAGATGCAGAGCACCATTTGAGAGCATTCTTCCTATCTATAAAATGGCAGAAGTGAAAAAGAAAAAAAAAAAAAGAATCCATAGGGAATTACAACATTCAGAATATCTCCCAGGGGAAAGAAGAGAGGAAAACAGCAAAAACCAAAACACAAATACTACTTCATTCAATTGCAGGAGGCTCAGAAGTGAAGTCACTTCCAAACACCCACATTCAGGCCGTGATTCACCCTACCTTGTGGCTGGGAGCCAGTGCTGCTGTTCTAGTTACTATGACAATATTGATGCCTCCTAGCTAATATGTATACAGGTGTGCCTCCAAAAATAAACAGCCTGTTCTGGGGGTAGGCAAGGAGAGGCTGGGGGAAGTTACTCAAAGAAAACGTTCATCAAAAATCACTGATACAGCATTCAAAACCTGCTGAGAACACAAGGAAACAGCAGTCCACCATAGGAACCATCTCTGGAGCTGAACACCTCCCAGTTCTGAGTGCCCACCCTGCTCTCCTCCCCTTGGAAAGACACAGCAGCTCCCAGCCATTGAGATGCAAGTCTTAACAAACCCTCATGCTGCTCCAGCGCTCTGACATTTCTCCCCTGGTGTTACAAGGGCTGCAGTAAGCTTAATGCACGACTGCAGTGCACGAAGATAACATGATGCAGAAAGCATCTGGGGACTGAAATGTCACGCTGATGCATTCCATCAAGCCAGACACCCAAGGAAACAAAGAGCTGTCTTCTCAGAGAGCATTTCATCCCGTGCTGAAGGGCTTACAGGCACTCAGATCAGCTTTCTGAGGAGTTTCTGATAACTTCAGTAATGTTAAATGAAACCACCACTAACCTGAGATGAATCTCATTCAAAAGATAACTTCAGCTTCCTCACAATTGGCAAGCAGGCCAAGAAGCCAGCATGACTCTCAGAAGCAGACCTGAAGGATTACATTCTGTGCACCCACAAATGCAGAGATGCTCCTTTTAGTCACAGCCCTTCCATCCCATCTGCACACCTCCAGAAAGAACTGCCCCTCAAACAGCACTGAGCACAGGAAGGAAAGGCAGCTCAGAGCTCAGCGTGGCAGCAGCAAACTGCCCTCCTGTGTGTGTGTGTGAACAGATTCTTCTTTTCTATTGTTCCCATTGACTAACAGTTTGCATCACAGCCCATACCACCACACTACGTGGGAGCATCACAGCCTTCTAAATGCGTTATCCCAGTCAGACAGCTACACATTACCAACCCTGTTCTATAGAAATGCCCATGGAGGTGCAGTTTCTTATCTCGGCCACAAAGATAATCCAGGCAATGAAGTAAACCAGGTTGAAAATTAAGGCCCCCCGCCTTCTTTCCCCGCAGTGGTTATTTTTGCTGCTCACTGAACCAGTTCATTGCATATTTCCAGAAATAGTTGCACTGGATTAGCTGAGAGCAGACAGGGAGATGCAAGAGCAGCTGGCAGAGGGGAGGCCAAACAGGAACAGTTTGAACTCACCTAAGTCCAAAGAGATGCCCAGCAGCATCTGTCCTGCTCACAGGTTACTCCTAACCCAGATCAGGCACTTCAGTACAATCTGCTTTCCTCCACAGCTGCACAACACCAAGATGCAAGTGCCATCCCAACTCTCAGCTGTTGGGACAATTGCCTGCCCAGTCACAGGCCAGCTTTAGCCAGCATGAGGCCAGCTGATATTACAAATTCCCATAGAACAAGTAATACAAACCCACCACTGTTGGTATTGTTTTCTTTGCAGACCCAGCTATAGCTTTATCCACTCTCATCATCCATAAGCAGTAATGCAAGAACCCCTTTTCCAGCCCACGACGTCCCACAGCACACAGCTCAGCGACTTCAAATTATTTCTGTCTCTCTCCTTCCTTTGGGTATTTTTAACACACCATTGAACGAAGCACGACAGCATAAAGGCTAATGGATCAAAATTACCTGTTAGCATGTCACCTGCAAATTATCACTGCAAGTTCATACTCAGGCCTTGGAAGAACTGTTGTCTGGGCAAGACACTTCTCCTGTGCTACAAAGGGCTGCACTGCATGTGCCTTTCTGCATTATGGCCCCAGTTTTGTAGCAAAGAAACATCTGGCCCTCATTACAGGTATTATAAGGAACTGGTGACTGTGTTTTATCTAAGAAATGAACGAAATTTGCATTAAATAATGAAGCTGCCTTTTAAAAAGGAGGTCAGTTCATTCAGTCAATTCTGAAAAGTGCTGCTGCTCCCCATCTTTTTAAAACATATGCTATAAACCTTCATACAGAGAGAAAAAAGTCTTGTCTTCCATCTTCATATTTGACAGCACTGTCAGAGTCAGCAACTCTGTAGCAGCTTTTAGCTCTATGCTGAGAGCAACACGAAATCTGCAGGGCATCACAACTGTAACCCATGCTAAGCATAGGAAAATACCTGGTAAATAATCACACCCTTTGATAATAAATAAATGTCTTGCATATCACGTAAACCTCTCTACTACAGCTTCAGTCTACT